TTACAAGTACCAATTTTTTTCAAACAGAGAACATCTCCACGTAAATAATGAATTAAATTAAAGAAGCCAGTTGCCTATAATTAGCATGCAAGGAGTTGCTTCGTCCAACCGATCATTTTGATAAAGTAATCTTAATTTGATTCAAAATTAGTGTTTTTCATTTGGGCATTGCCTACAAGCACTAGTGTTTTTAGTCTTACGAAAAAATCCCTCCTTTTTACCACTCACAAAGTAGCAGTACGATAGCTCTTTCTACTGGTTAATTTAATGCTACTGTTCTTGCCTGCCTACTTGTCTTCTCTCCTTCGGGTATAATTTAGCATAGCTTCCACTCCCTGCTCCCCCTTCCCCTTCCCCTTCCATGCCTAACTCTAGTGTACGCCTAATCATGCATGAATATTTAGAATTACTACGGCACAGTGATCCAACACACGCAGAATGTAGAAGTTGGGTGGAGGAAACATTCCGAGGCATAAATATTTAACTCAAAAGAGGAGCGTGTCCCGATAAGATAACTGTTCATTTATGGCGTGATTAAAATTTCCGCGTGTACATAGACCGGAGGCCAAAGCGTGAGCGGGAAAACCAATCATCTGCAGCGGCGTGAGGAGCGTGCGCATCTCCACGCACCAATCGGCTTTGCCCATGCAAAGGCACTGGCTGCGTGCGTGCGTGCGTGGAGGGGAGTGGGCTAATAAGGTGAGTTAATTAGCGGCAGCTCCGTTAATTTGCTCAAGCGTCACGCGTTGCTCTCAGAGTTACTGCAGAGGTTTTAAGCAATTAGAAGGCTTATGCAGATATTTTTTTCGGTTAGCTTCTTGTTTGGGGTAGGAGGGAGAGGGAAGACAAAAAAGATTTCGCTAGTACTGTGGGAAATTGGCAATAGTTGACAGCTACCTGTCGTGAAAGATTGCAAACGGAATATACACGTTATGGAAACGTTCAGTGCGCATTAAAATCCTTTTAACTCATTAAGATGGTACTTTTTCAAGTGCAAAAATGTGTGTCAGATGTAAGAGTTTTATAAAACGAGCCACTTTAGCGACAGTAGTGGTAAACACTTAATTGACAAACAACTGATTTATGGAGATTTTAATTCAAACTCCGTAGCATACTTAAAATGCACACTCTAATTTTTAGTGGTATAGAGGGCATGCTTAATGGAATTTGTATCACAAATATTTAATAGGTGAGTAGGTGTTGACATTTTGTCGCCTTCACTTCTGTCAAATGTTCAGCAGACGATATCAACTAATTACAATTTGTCGACAACGTCGCTCTTCTTAAGTGACATGGTTCACCAAGAACTGCAGACCACATCTACACACATTGGTCCAAGGACGATAGTCTCAGAGGATATTTGTAAGGTATTTTCACGGTAATTTAATTCCAAAGCCGAATAGATTTAAATTTTTATTGCTCTAAGGTTTAACTATGAAATACAACAATTTGAAGTTGAGGATTCTTACTTAGAAAGAGGAGGGCGAACGTAAGATCCCGTTAAGTGCTTTTTCTCCGAATTCTCCTCATTCTTGCACATGCTTGACGCATTTTTCTTGTCACTGATGACAAGATGAGCAGGTAACTCGAAGGCTGATAAAATAGCCAAGATTTAAATACATCTAAAGGTATGCTTAGTAAGGAGACCGATAATGCAGGAGACCTCAAAGTTCCGCAATTTTATGGTCTCCTTTGTGAAGTCGTAGGAGGCTGTAAGGGGTGCAGTTGGTTTGTGTACACAACTGCACACTCACGACTGACCCAGAATGGTGTCATACCACTTTGAAATATGTACAGGCGATGTTATCATAATTTTACCAAGAATCTGACGTCTAACTTGACAGTTGAACAAACAGCGCTCCACTTTTTTCCGCCACGTCTTGACATAGGCCGTCTTCGGTTTGATTTAGGAGCACTAGACACTACCAATCCTGGGACTAAGTCCGTTATGCACAGCCAGCGACCATGTAATTCTGTTCCCACCACTTTTAATTGATCTAAAAGGACTGCCAACATGAAGACTTGAACGCGTGGAAATGCTGATGCATTCATACACTTATCCGGACATTTACTTTCGAAGTCCAAGCTGTATTTTTGGAGTTGGAAGACTTGTCTAGGAAAATCGGTTCGATTTGGGCACTGGGACTGAATTCCGGCTCTCAGATGCTCACCTGTGGCTTTAATGCTCGTCGTATTCCTCCTCCACACTTTGCAACATAAAACTATCTGTTTATCAGGAATAGGATGGCTCGAGTTAACTGTTAATAAATGGACTCGTGCTTCTTATTGCAATGCTTGTCAAACTTTCTTTTCTTTTACCTTTGCATTATGAGGACCTCTTCTTGAGAATGGCCATTTTGATGTGATTCGAGAACTGTGGGCTGCCCGCAATGGACCATGTGCGTTAAAAGCCACCATTGTAGGTGTCAAACACGACCCCACATCTGCTGGCGGTAATTTCAACGAGGGTGGTTCTGTTTCTACACCTCAAGTAAACACTTTAGTGACCACACAACCGATGCGTAAATCGCAATCCAACCAACATCTTGAGAAAGTCCTTGAGAGAGGGAGAGAGGGGGAAAATCATTCATTGAGAATAATTAAAGGACACTAACATATTTGGATAATACTCTCTTTAGGCACCATAATGATAAGGAGAAGGGGAGGGGGCGAATTGGGTACCACTGTAACTGTGTCAGATAAACGAGTCAAAGCACTTCATTTTCGTCCCCCATCCAACTCACTGAATAAAAATTACTATCCATTTATTCCAAATTTGTTTTTAAAGTAAGAAAAATGACTTTAGCGATTACGTAAAATGAGTTTTCCTATACACTTTTTATTAAACAGTACTTCATCGAGGCACCAGCTTCCACGTGATCGATAAATTTGAATGCGCACTTCACCGAGTCCCCACTGCCTATGGGTTATTACCTCTTCATGGTGAAGGGTAATGTCAAAGCCAGAGTGGAGCACAGACAGGAGGAGATAGCCCTCCCTCTGGACTACTCCTTTTTCCAAGTCAAAGCACCTGTGGAGATCCTGCGTTTTCCACCACGAATTGACTCACCATTGGGATTGAAGACGCCTAAGGACGCATCGGGTAAGTGGCTGACCAAAGCACTAAAATTAAACAACAATATTGTGGAGGATCTCGTTGATCTGCCACGTGTTGTTTCTAGTCTCTTCCCCTACGAGCAATGGCTCACGTGGTTAGACCTTTCCTGCAACCTCTTGCATCAAGTTCCACCTGAACTACTTCTCTTGACAAGTCTCAAAGTTCTCTACCTCCATGGCAACAAGATTGCCACAACTAGAGAACTAGCGAGGCTGCATCCGCTCAAAAACCTCATAAAACTCACAGCTCATGGAAATCCAGCCGAGCTGGAGGTGGGCTACTTCATCACAATGCTGGCAGCGCTGCCCAACCTACTTAAGCTTGACTTCACCGCCATTTCAATCAATGAGCGACTGGCTGCTGACCAAATTCGAAAATCGGAACAGATTCACAGACGATAGGACGTGCTCACTTGTACAAATTGTGAGCCAATTCCACCATCACACACTCACAAATGACTTTTCTTTCGCCTCAGTGAACATTTATTCGATTATTATCTTGAGCATATTTATGGCTTCGTAACAATGGCAGTAACGTACGAACGCCTTTCATGAAAATATTTACCATGAAGTAAATAATACCTCAACTTTCACTCTCAACTCATACCTCTTGACGTTCTTGCCCAAATTTGTTCCACCTTGGTCTGTTTCTGGTCTGGTCAGACCTCGTGCTGCGGTTGAAAGCTATTTTTAAGCAGAGTTTGGGTGCTGGCCCGTTCGATTTTAATGATGATGGCCTCAATCCACGCAAGGAATTAAAAACACCGCACTCACTTCATGCTACTGACGTTGACAAGCACAATCTAGTGGCGTGGAGGTTATTGTTCAAGGCATTTTGAAGGGGCTGCACAGTTACAAAACCCAGTGTCTGTAAAAAAACCTGTTGATTGAGATTTCGAAATGAAAAATCGGAAAGATGGTAGAGCCTAGTTACGTGCCTCGCTTTTCTATTAAAGATTTGCTAACGAATAAAATTGGTTTGACTCCACCTTAATTAGCCGACATATTCAAGGGATCCATCACGTCATAGCTATAAACTCAGCCAAGAGAGCGAATTAAAGGACAAGTGTACTCGCATTAGCCACAATGATTATTTGTCCTACCGACCGGTACAATGGTCAAAAGGCTTGGGCAGACTGGAGGGGAGAATTTGTGGTGGTTGGGGCGGGGGCGGAGGAAGGGGTAGGCATTTGAGAAGATCGAGGTCGAGAGCGCGGTTAGAAGTGGTTGAGGGGACTGGAGTGGTGGTGGTGGTGGTGGAGGTGGTGGAGAAGAGTTCGAGGAGATCAGAGGGTGGCAGAGGAGGATGTTTCACTCCCTCCGGTGTGGACCGCAACATGAGCGCTGACAGGGGCTCCAACAATCCATGACGCTGACAGTTTCCACGGTCATCTGTTGTTCGTTGCTGTTGTTGTTGAAAAAATCGGTTTACATTGTTTGTGGCCTCCGTTAGCAGTTCTATGCCGACGCTAGCCTGTCGTTTCCATTTGGTTCTGCATAAGAGAAGTTGCTTACTTTTAAAATAAATACAAATAAATAGCATGGAAAATTAGCACCACAATCAAATCTCGAGCTAATTACTAGCTCAAACATCTGTCTGTTGGCCAGCAGATAATCGTGCTGACAAACAATTGTGTCAATCGAGTTCATTCAAAAGTTCGCCCACTATTTGTACAATTTACCCAACATTTCCAACTTGCGTAGAGCCTGACTTTGGAGTTGCTGAAAAACTCGATGATCCAAATAATTGCCAGTCCGAATGCATACAGTCGAGTGCGTTTTAAGTGTGTGCATCACTGAACAAGGCGTGTCACTGATGTGTGACCGTGTCGTATTGTGCCGCTGGATGAAGTATTGTGCGAACGTGATCATCACGGGTTCGGGCAAGCCTAGTTGTTTTCCATTAAAAAGCAACTTCAACAACTTCACCAAACATCAAAAGCAGTAAGGAGACATCGGCGTCGTTTACTGCATTCAGCTTGAAGACCCCAACTGGACTCCCACTTTAAAGCTGTCAAAAAGCGCCTTTTTGATCAAGAGTCGTAACAACGATGTGGAATTTTGATTGCCGCCAAAAACACCAGTTGTCCTCAAACGACGACCTTTTGCAACCAGTTTTGCAGTAATGTGGAAGCATCATGCTGTCTCCTGCTTCACCATCACATTTACCGACGCCTTTAGTCGGAGGACGGCAAATTACGTCATAAGACCAATAACAAAAACACTTTTAATCACGTGCATAAAGGAGGTACAACTGGACGCCGTCGCTACTGTGATCGGTCTAAGCGAGAAATCGACAACTGCAACTCAGATACACACGCACTGTAGAAAAATGACCTTTTCTAGCTCTGACTACATCCTCTTTGCAGTTGGGGAGTTAAGTGACACCTTCTTTTTACCAGTTCAAGCTCCACCAGCCTGTTTACGACACCCGGCTGAGTGTAGCCGCGGATGTCATTAGGCTGGCAAGGGAAACGGGGTCCATGTCGGAGATGCGAGAACTGAATAGGCCATCAGACACACATGATCCTGCCGCAGTGTAGGAATTTATTGCCGGTGATAAATACCTTCCCAAACGACCCACAACACACCAGTCCCGTCTTCTAGGTCGTATTATTGCCGTTCGTATCTCGATTTCTGATTGGCCACTTGGTTGAAGGGATGATTGAGGTTTAAAAGCTAAATGTGACTTTTCTTTTTACATAAAATTGAGAATGTTTTATGGGCTTGGCTGAGACCTAACTTCCCTTCCCACTCGTATGGCTATCAAAGAAAGACAAAATTGTGATGTGTGGGCTTCACATACTTAACCCGTAAATACAAAAACACGATTTGCTGCGATTGGTTTGCAATTCAACACATTCTGTAATAGGGCCATTCGAGAGTTCCACCAGTCCCTTTCCCCAAGACGGCGAAACTTTTGGCCTCAAACCCTTTCACATGCTGACAGCTTAAAATGTCCGCAAACACCCTGTTGTTCTTCGTTGTCAGGGCAATCCCATGAATTAAATGCGCACAACACCGCAAATACCTGCCACAGCCCGACGTCGTAACGCGTGACATGTGCACCCCGACCGATAAGTGACAACTGTAGTAGCACGAAATCGAGAGCGTTTACAACGCCCTCCATGACAGACGTAAGATGGTGTGATGTGATTAGGAAGGGGTAAACAGTATTTTTTTCTTAACTTCGAAAAGCAGAACAACTTCATCAGACCTTCAGCACGACCACTGCTTCTGGAGGTCAAGAGTGGATATCCTCCATGACCTCCATGGGAAAAAGTGTGAAAAAATTTCCTGAAATCTCAAGGATTGGCCGACATAACCGCTTTGCTTGTATATCAACGCTGTCTACAACCTTGCATTTGACAAAAATTGTCGACTTTCAGGAGGTTGGCAGTCTTTGTTGAGCCTGGCGAAATGTAAGGTGTAACCGAACCTCAACTTTGGAGGTGGAACGAATGCTCGAATCCGGGTGCAAGGCAAATATTTTATCTGACTGAATTTACATTTCTGTCAACTTTTTTACGCTACATGAAGAAGGAAATGCATAAAAGAGGTAGACGCATTAATGGGTTCGCCCTTAAATAATTAATGAAAACAAAGAAATGATTTATTGGGGGATAATCTACAGCGCTGAAAATCTCACCGATTTCAAAAAGTGTTTTAAATAAATTAGGCATTTATATTCTACAGATTTAGCGCATTTTTAACTTGTTAAACCACACACACTTGTAAAGGTGTCATTTGATGTTGATAGTTTTTTTTGCTTAATTGTTCGAAATGAGCCAAATTTTAACCAATGCTTGTTTACCATCGCAACAACTGAGCATAAATTATCTAGCTAGCAATTAAAACTTGTTTTGTTGTAAATTTAATGTTTTATTTGTTTATCACCCGACTTTGGTGACGGGTCATGTTGCGGACCCCCTGTCTTGGAATCACGCCAGTGGCCTCAAGTCCTCCACAGGACGCTGCATTGCTGATTAATGGTGATGAGACTTTGTGTAGTGGAAGGACGGAGGAGAGGGAAGGGGGCACGACAACTCCCAACGACAAGGTGGAAAATACCATCTATCTTCTCTAACCGCCCCAGTTCCCTAACTAGCAAGAGGAAGATTCAAATTACACCAACTGTGAACTGTTCAAGAAAGTTCTTTACAAACACAAGTCAATTTCACAACTTCCCTATCAAGCTGGATGAAGCCTGGATGGATAAGGCTAAGCAGTAGCGAGATGCGCATGAAATGACAACGTAGATCCTTTTCCTATGCCATGTGACCTTCCGCCTAGATAAGCAGGCCTAGAATTTGTGCGATAGCCAGGGAACCTCCTTGTACTTCCCCTGTTCCCATCACCATGGCCTGATAAGTAATGACAACCGACACAACTATATACTGCATTGTTACAGCCAACCTGGAAGAATGACTACAAGGAGAGCTGAGGAAATGTTCAAGAGAGGAAACAGACGGTAACAGATGCCTAGACTCCAAAATTGTACCTCTGCCTGGTGATTTAGCCTCTGGTTCGTGCCACTAGACTTTAATCGCTTCTGTATTTCGGCAATACACATTATTGCAAAGTATCGAAATACCTTTCACCTTCAGTAAAGTTTAACAGCAGTACAATAATTTACTTTTGCAGTTCGATTTAGGTACTTCTATGTGGCAGTTGATCAAGTAAAAGCGACCGCCGGAGACGTGGACTGATCCAGTAGAAAGCAATAATTCTGGCATTTTTAAGGTTTTAGCATTCACAGATCTTCATTTGTCTCAATTTGTCACCATCTCTACTCGATTCCTTTGAATGAAGTGGAAAGTTAAAGGATAATTCCATCCTCTGGAAGGTGAGTTAGAACGTGGAAGGTATCCAACTCATGGCCTTAGGAGAGTTCATGTTCTTATGCATTATTTAGTGAAACAGAAGTGGATATTAGTCAAGTTTTGCTCTAACGACTTCTCACCCCCCTGAAGTGTCGCAAGCCTCGATGTTGTACGCAATTCTCTACCACATTCAAATGCGTAATTATAGCGCCTTAACGAAAACAAGAATCAAAAACTGACATAAAATAACTCACCGTCTATTTTGGTACCACGTTTTCACTTGCATGTCAGAGAGATGTAGCTTTTCTGCTAGTTGCATTCGATCCTGCACAGAAAGGTACTTCTGCCTTTCAAAAGTGCGTTCAAGCTCATTGAGTTGGTGATCGGAGAACGCAGTCCTCGCCTTGCGTACTTTCTTGCTCTTCCCCACACCACTCTCCTCTTGACAAGTGCCACTGCCAACGCTCGTCACCGTCGTTGGTGCGGAGACCGCCTTGCCGAAATCATGTCGAGTCATTCCACCTCTCTGCCGCAAGGCGAGATCATCAGGACTAATAAGGCCTCTGAATGGGTCGCCAGGATTCAGGATGTCTATAATTTATTGCCAACAGCTTTCACTGTGGTCTGGACACAAAGACAACTCCAAGACATGGATGCAATTTCATGCTCAAATGGTCTGTAGGTCGAAGAAGTCGCTGCAATTGTGTGGAATTGGGTGCTTGGTCTCAAATCAAAGAAGCGGAAGAGATTTGAGCGAACCATGAGTCGCATGACCAAAATACCTTCAGCTTTCAAATTAGGCCACAAGTAATAAGTCCTCCCTTCGTTTCAAAGGAGCCTACATTTGGACGAACAGTTCAGTTCACGTATCGTTAACCAAGATGGCAGAGAATAGCAGTGACGAACGTGTGGATGCCACAGATGCCTGTGTATTCAGATGACGTACCTTAAACCTTGCCACTCTACAGCTTGACACACTGCAGCTCTCATGGAGAGTACAATTGGTTGGAATGAAACGCTCATTCTGCCTGTCATCATACTCGACGTGTCCAATTTTCTTACGTCAACACTTTTGCTCATTATCTAAGGTCACAGCTGAGTCAGCGTAGGCCTCTCATCAAACGTCATTTTACTGAGACTATAGAACTCTTTTCACCCCTTGACGCCCTGGAAGGTGGACAAATCCAAAGTATGGGGAAAGAAAACTGAATTAAGGAGAGACGAATCTCTCACTGCCAATGATGAATAAAACCATTTGTGCGTAAAGCTACGTGACTCCCGAGAGGCGGTTCATGTTGGCTGCCAAAGTCAGTGATGATGGGAATCGGACTGTTCTTTGTGGCTGCGTTGCACTGTCGAACACGCATCAGTGAGAAGATTTTCTATCATAATTTTAAACTAGGCGTGGATGCACAGCCCTCTTGCTCTCCTCTTGTCTTATGGATAAGAAATATAATTGAGGTTTGCATTAACTTCTGAGATCCTGCAAATGCATTTTGTTGGAGGGTCTGCAAGTTGATGTTGAGGCTCCAGAATGCGCCAAAAATTGTGATTTACAGCATTGCATTCTGGGGCAACCACAGCCTAATGAGCCTTTTCCCTCCGGACTCAGACAAGAAGATCATAAGGTCACAGAAAGCTCAAAGGAGGGTCATGGAGTAACACGATGCAACCGTCAACAAAGCCTTACAACAGCCCAGGAATCTCCGCATTTGGAGGCACAGATCGATTCTCCTGATATGACCTTTCACCATAAAACTATCATACATTCCATTTGGCAGTGTCTGGGTGTGAGCGTGTGTGTTCCGAAGATTGATGCAATCGATGACATTTGAGGGCGTCCCCACACCTCCAACAACTTGGCGTGTCAAGGGGCGTCGTCGTGCTAAACGCTGTGCCATTTTTGCTGTCTCTGTTGAAAGTTGGCATTAAGGTGTGCACGCACAACAGTTTCCTTTGAGCCGAATTCAAAGGCACCGCCTGCAGTGCAGCAGACGCAAACACTTGACAATCGAGGTGTCGGACAAGTCATACCAGGCGATGAAGGCATGTACAGGAAGAACATAAAATTTATTTGCTTTAAATTTGGTAAGGCAATCTCATTCCCGTTAGACGTCAAACGATAGTCATTCGACAGCCACATTGTGGAATTGAGCCTGCCTTATCTGACTTACAAAATAGCTCATTTGAAATGTCTAAATCGTCAATGATGAAACGAATAGTCTCACATCAAGATGCGATCTTTGTGCAGAATCTGTATACTTTCTGTGAAATAAGTTGCTTCGTTAGGTGATCAACCTTAGTGGTCAACCAATTTGGTCACAAAGACAGTGCCGCAGTCATTGATGAGAGGCAAAAAGAATTGAAAAAGCCGTGGTGAGGGAAAGTTGTCACCTTTGCCGTGCCTTCATTGGAAGGTTAAACTGACCGATTCAATCTATGGCTTGCATTGTCCATACGGCAATGCTTGCTGAAAGCGCTCCAGATGAGGTCCACCTTCAGAATTTACAGACCCAAGGGTGATGCTTTGACCACGACCATATACGCATTAGAGACAGGCGGAGCAAGCATTGGCCGTTCCAGTCCACGCGCTACCTAGTTCTGAAGCTGAAAGCTTATGAAACTGCCTATCAAAGTCCAACTCTTGGATGATTGTAGCTCCACGACTTCTAGTTTTATGCGCCCCATCACTCTAGCCCACAATGAACGGTGAAAGATTGCTTTATCAACCCAACAGTGAGGTACTTGATGATGTACACAAGTGATCATTCTGGCCACGGGAGTTGACATCGCCTCCAGCATTCGTAGTCAGTAGTTCACACTTCACCTTTTACCGAGTAGCCATTGCCAGGAACAAGCATTCAGTCAGCTTATTCAACTCTTGTCGCCCAAACGCATGCTTTGAAACGTGAAGCCTTGAAATGTTAGTTAATCGCTAGCACAAATGTGCATTCCTTCTTGAAGGATGCCCTCCATGGCGCACTCAAAAGTATCCTTTTGGTGCAAATATTAACTACATTAACTCGGTTTATTTCACACAACCTTTAACGGCTAGACAAGGGGAGGGTAGTAAAGCTTACCTGTTTATGACAGAATAGGGACTGATTGAATTCTTAAAAGGTTATGCAGATTTCATGATAAATGCTGAACCATTAATGGAGCGGGTTGGTGGAGCGGAGGTGGGACGGGGAGCAGAGGAAAGGGGTGGAGGAACAGAACTAGGAAGGCACCTATCACAAAATCCTTGCCGCTGTCAAATCACTTAATCACTTAAAACGAAAGGCCGTGCGAACTTTGCTCGGGCAAGGAAAGTCATTAAAATCCTACAACTTTGTCAGTGTGCGAAAATAATGTTTCCCTAAGTAACTAACTAAACTAACTGCCTGACTGCCTAACTGTCCCGTTTTCTGTAGAATTACTAACATTTTTGCGCTCTGTCAAATGCCAGCACTGGTGTGTCCTTTTCCGCCTTGATTTCCAACCCATTTTGACCAACTCCCAAGTTGAACATTTAAGTGTTCTTCGTAATTGTACCAGCGAGTGCTGCAACCTCAACTTCAAGCCATATTAAATCACTAATCGCAAAGCTTGAAACAAAGACCTTCGTTTGGGTAGTGCTTTGTTCTATAGTCCGGATACATTCTGGCCTCTGCTGCTAGAGTTGTCAACCCAACCTTAGCATCGTAGGCACTTGTCACGTATGTGTGGCGATGACAACAAACGTGCTAATCTCTTCAAATAGATGCTTTGACAAAGTGGTCAATCTGTTTTTACTTATGACTAACCACTGCTCAGTACCCTTTCGTCATACTCTCTTTGCCGTTGTAGGCGTAAGGCCGAGTACGCGCAGGTTGGGTTCATTTAAAAGCCCACATAGAAGATGGGCATCTGTGTGCTCTTGCAGTCTAAAACGATTGGTTCGGTACACAAAAAAGTGTTACATTATGCACACGCTAAAAAGACGGCGAAAAAAACGCGGCTCTTTTTTCAGATCATCATCACGAAGTGTGCATTTTCACAGTGACCCGTAAGTTCGCTAAGTCCAGTTGGGCAAACATTAAACAGTCAATGACACTGCCTTGATTCATTGCATTAAAATGAAAACCTTATTTACACGCACGCACCATGAGCCAGTTTGAAATTAAAATTAAAAATCCAAGCTTCATAGTTTGAGGCGTTTTTTTACCGGTAAATGCTACATTTGCGCAGAAAATGCATCAAGGCGCTCATTCTTTGTGTGATTGGATAAACAAGTGCCTGAACAAGTCAAAACAAAATTTGCTCTATGAATTTCGGAAGGCGGCTAGCAGTTAACCTTTTTCCTTTTTAAAAAAAACCCAAATGCAACTTCAAGAGGAAAAAGTTTATTGAATAAATGACACAAAAGACAGGACTGTCCCCACCCCAGGTCAGTCGACCCAGAAGCATTGACCTCAAAGGGAGCCACAACTTAGCGCAATTTCAATGGAGGCGTTCAACAAGCTTTCAAGAAAAATGTTTGTCTTCAGACAGACAATAGGAGACAATAGAAAATCAAAAGTTAATCGCTTGTCTGAGGTCAAGAAGCTTTGTATCTTCAAAAGCATAATCTTTTTAGAAGGCACAACATTCATGACGAGGTCATTATGACATTCGAAGTCACTCACGTTGAAAATGCCTAATTTGGTCTGTTATCTATTTATTTAAATGTTTTAACATTAACCAATTTTAAAAACAAGTAAACCGTTAACTTAGATAAAGGGGTAGTCAGTGTAAAAGCCTCAAGGCCATAATGACGTGAAATATTGGGTGGCACAAATGCTTTTATTATCTGCACCTATTCAGATGATCCCTTAAGCGTCACATAAAAATGGAGCAGCAGTGAATATTGCAGAAGTGTTTACGGCAGGTCGGCTGGCAACATCACTTACAAATGGCGCCCTAATCTCGCAGTGCGAGGTCACTAGTGTGTGACATGGGCATCTAAAGGGCTTAATGGGTACTGCGGTTGCATCACATTTGCGTCGTCAGCAAAATTGTCGGACTTAAAACTACTAGTCGAATGTCAAATTCCCTTGACGGTTCAAAGCTATACTTGAACCAGTCAGCTAGGCAGAGCATAAAAATAAAAAGTGATGGAGATAAAAAACAGTCAAGGTGTCAAAGATCGGAACCATTGTAAAGGTTAATTCGCTTACAGAGATACGAATCAATATACCACTATTTGAATGCCATGTGCAAAGAAAACGATTTCTATATGGGAAGAAAACAAAAAATCAACTAGACCGAGAAAATCCTGTAATAGTAAATGAGGAAGTTACTACGAGTCATCAACACAACACCATTCAACTTTCCTTAAAATCTGCCCTAAATCGATTCGTCACCTTTTGTTTTTATCCCCAAGGGTATTTCGACCGTTTATTGCCTTGTACTTGAAGACATACTTAAGTTCCAAATAAACCCTTTCGTCTGACCAAAGGTCAACGCCAACCAATCCCAGTAACAGTAGAGATAAAAACTGACTCACTATCATCAGGGTGAAGTGTGCTCTGTGGCAAAAATCGAAGATCCGCTGTCAGTTGCTGGGTGGGTAGCCAGGGCGAAACAGGAAAGGATAGACGAGTGCACAGATCCATGGGAGAAAGATCTTTGAAAGGGGGCATGCCCCATTCCAATGACTCATCCCTTTGACTCAATGGTCTTTGAATGCTCCTCTTCTGCCCCAAAATGTCCCCAATCATAAACGACGGCATTACTACCACCCACATGCATCTTTAACCACCATCTCAGGGTGCTTATATAGGGGCCGAACTTTACGGCTCATCTCGTGATTGGTGCATACGACGCTGGCCTCCTTTGCAATTGGCCAGCAACAGGCCAATCAAAACGCACCGCGTGAACGACGCAGGCATTGGCGAAGTATGAAGGCGGTGTAGTTACTAGGACAATGAAATGCTACTGCATTTCGAGCAGTTATAAAAAAAATCTGCAATGACGATACGAGAAAGGCCAGAAGCGGAACGCAAAGCTACGAGACAATTTTGACGATGATTAAACGACTACAACGTGACAGAGCAATTCCGACATGTGTCCCAGCCAGCTAGCTTGCTACACGACCCCACCCCCAGTTTGCCGTTTATCTGCATTAAGAAAGATGTTTCGCTGCCAAATGTCACAACCAAATGTGTTTGTAAGCTAAATCGTTTACATTAGGGTGAAAGGTTACGCAAGACAAAACCGAGGCATCCCTAGGGAAGCGCCAATAGGCTACAAAGCGCTAGAAATACATTGGAAACGAGTCGGAAAACCTCAAAAATCCAACTACCAGAATGCCACTGCCTCCGAGGCATCCCGATCGAGAGCAAGCTGACACAACGCACTTCGCAATCTAAATCAGTCGCTTGATGCAGTGCAAACCCCATACACTTAAGTGCCTCCTTCGATTCATCGCAAAAAATACACGTCACTTCGGATCAAAATGCACAAACTCCCCATTGGACTCAAACCATCACTTAATGACTCTCAACCACATTTCGAGACAAAATCCTACAATCAACAGCCTTGGATCAGTTCACTGCACAATCACAAAAACACAATTAGCGACCCGAACTATGCGGGTCCCCAAAGGAAGGGTAATTACTGCTAGTAGGAAAAAAATTCAATCTTTCACTTAGACCCGCATAATACACCTCCGCAAGGTTTGTCGACAATAATCCTTTTATTGTGCTATTTACCCGACCTCATGCATCAACTCAGTACTTGGTGGTACGTGCGAAGAAAAAGGCTTTCCGAAAGTGTAAAGATACACTTAGCGGTGATCGAATACCCCCTCCGCAACAAGACCTTGAATGTTACTGCGTAAAGGTCAAAACCCCACACACTCATCTCTGTAAAACCCCAATCCAGCCGGCGTCATTCTCCATTGGACCGAATAATCCAACTCATAAGGCAAGGGCCCCCTCCCCACTCCTAGAGAATTTCCAAGAGCTCAACCTTCGGACTACATCGCATGCTTTCATAGCGTGCATGCACGTGGGTTGAATCAAGCAACCCAGATAAAGCTGGACCACCCAATATTCGAGACCTAAATATACATTCTACTCACATTTAAACAGTAAAACTTTTAACCACTATACATCCAGCGAACCCCAGTGGCAAACCGGGGCAATGTGAAGAAATGTGAACTGTCGGACCGAGAAACTGAATATCAATACTCAATGAAGAAAAAAACCTAAGCCACAAAAGTTGATAAGGACGCAAGGCCCTGAACACTATAAGAAATGTCAGTTGACTATGAACCCAAATGACGTCTCGGTAAGAACAAGAAATTCGTGTCAAAAAAGTAATGCGAATTTATTTTTCAGAATCCAAATATCAAGAGTCAAATGTCCACACAGCATGCGTATTAGAGCACTTCAGTCATATTAAAAGTTTAAGGCTAACATTGACGAACGGCTATCGATAAAAACACTGGAAGCACTGACATGTGATGAATCAACTGATGCAACTGTATAGAACCTGTAAGCTCTGCCATAGCATTCATAAAACAACGTCCGCATTATACAAAATTTCATCATTAATTATTACTTTATCACAACAAACCTATCCACAATCATCGTTTAATATTAAGAATGTATGAAACATTCAACTTTTAAAGAGCATCATAAAATTCATCTTGCAATAAATTTATCTGAGAAATTCCACGTAAAAATATTTTTAATCAGAGATAGTCTCTGATTGGGACGCACCGGGACCCGGAGAATACTAAGACCGATTCTCAGCCCTGAAACATGTGACGACCGGAGAAAAACTTTGACTAGTTCAGGCATGGTCAGCAAACAAAACAAAATTAAAGCTACTCAGATCACAACCAAGGACATATACACTTAAAGCAAGTACGATTAACGCATATAATGATTGACGCAAGATAGTTTAAACTAGTGTTGATTTCCACAAGCTCACTGTTGGGACATTATCGACAAACCGCTTTTCCAGAGTGATGCACACTAAAAAAAGTAAGTTATGAAACACTTCCAATAAGCTCGTTCAGCAGGCATCAAAAAAGAACTTTTCAAAAAACATTCCCAAGTATTAAGCAATAAGCATAAAGACATTAAAAATTTTTAGTATTGATTCTGTATTAAAACAGTGGGTAAATGAATAGCATATATGCGTAGTCATGATTTTCAACAATTAAAAGCAAAATTGATACCACTTTCAGCTTTCCCCGTCTCCAATAGGTGAATAAGACGCCGAACTGGGTGACTCCGACGGGGGAGTAGCCGGTGGCTGATGAACAGTTTTTCGAACATATGGTACATCATCCTCATCGCCTTCTCCCTCCTCTATTGATTTCAAGTTCGCACGAAATCTACTGTGATCAACGTTTTCATCTTCACTCAATTCCGAAGAGGAGGCAATGCCTTCCTGCCCCTGACGAAGCTCATCCGCCTCATTGAAAGCTGCTGCTCCTGCTTCATGAGTCTCAACATTCGCATCCTTATCTTCTTCCTCCTTTTCTTCTTCCGGTGTCTTTGGTGGCTGGTGAACAATACTTGGTGAATGCGAGTGAGTAGACGGCAACGGCGAAGTTTGTGGCGCCGATGGAGGTGTAGGTGATCTTTCCCTCTTGTTAACAGCAATAACAGCGCCGTTACTCTCCAGATAAGCGGCTTCCTCGGCTTCAACTGCTTTAACGTCAAACGGCGGTGGTGATGAGGACCCGAGCTCTGTCACCTTACCAGCTGTAGTGCCGGCATTGGGAGCTGGCACAGTAACAACACGCGGCGTGTTGAGCTGAGGACCGCGACTGATTTGCATCGGCGGTGCCGGATAATTGATCATACTCTGACCTGCGCGGTCGTCAGAAATAGGCTTGGGACTAAAAGCCAGTTTCAGATGGAATGGATGTGCGAAGCCCACAATGTGTATTGGGCGGTGATTTGCCAAGGCCAGAGCATCCAACGACTCCCCAACCGTATCCCATTCCGCGAGACCTAAACCGATATTATAGGGAGTGTACCACACCAATGGCATCTGATAAAAGTAGATCCCTTGACCTACCCAATGATGTTTTCTGACCCGGTTTAGCGGTGAAAACAACTATTCGTGGAGGCCTTTTCACACCGCAATCAGAGAAGACGTGGCACATATCCTCTGGGGAAAAGTTGAGGGGAGCATTGAAGAAATGCAAGGTCCGGGTTGGAGCTAAAATGCGGCTCTTTGCTGCAACCACTGCGTTCCTGAACCTATTGTTCGAGTCAGCTAAAAGTGAATAAGCAGTGAGAGCAAAAAAAATTTAGTTAGACGGCAAGAGGCAAACATGAGCACTCACTCATGTAATTCTTCATCACCGGTGAACCATCAGACAGAGTTCCCAAACCAGCGTGTTCCTGAACTTCAATTTGCTCGCTTGGATGAAACTGGATAACCTGTCCAAAGATAGTGGCCCCCTCCAGGTGCTGCGAGACAAGCTCAGCAGCTTCCTTGGAGCCCATTTGTACGATGGCGCAACCTGGCCGACTCTTGAGAAATTTGATTCTTGCAATATTACCATAAAGACAGATGACGTTAAAGAGGTGATCGCAATTTATACCTTCCGGCAAATTGCTCACAACCAGCACTGCTCCCCTCTCTGCATGGAAAATTGACATGTCGGTATTCCTTGCAGCCGCCACGGATGTTGAATTAAGATTAGAGGTTGAGTGCCCCACTCCAATCCCAGCTGGAGTTACGTGGTGAACAGGTGGTGGCGTTGGCATTATCTGAGGCGCTGTCCTCACCGTTGCTGCAGGCATCTGCGGTGGCATTTGCTGTTGTGCCGGTGGCTGTTGTTGCGGATAGTATTGGTAGCCGGGTTGTTGGTAGTACGGCGAGGGCATCGGCGGCTGCATACCGTACGGCATCGCAGGATTTGAGTAACTAGACATGGGCTGACCAGGCATCATTGGAGGATAGTACCCTGGAGGTTGCATATACTGACCAGGCGGCATGGAATAGCCATAGTAGGGCTGCTGATAACCCATTGGCGGAACTGGCGGCACAGGCGGAACGCTGGAAGGAGGAGGAGGAGGAGGTTGCTGAACAGCAGCCGCGGGAGTTGACTGCTGCTCACCATGACCATTGGTAGCATTGGGCAAAAGTGTTCGCTGACCAGATGGTACATTAGAAAGGAGACCTTCCTTTGATTCGGTGAAATCCCACTGCTCATTGTCGTTCTTTGTAACGTGAATCTTCTTCATCTTAGAAAAACTGACAGAGAGACTGCAACAACCAGAATATATATCAGCACCATCCAAATGCTCACGAGCTTTAGTCGCTTCCTCAATTGAAGCGAATTCAACAAGTGCTTCCAAAGATTTGTCCACATTAACCTTGCCTATGTAAATTCTCTGCAGTGTACCATGACGTGAACATATTGCCTTCAGCACATTCACAGTAATGGGATATTCAGCATTTCTGATGTCAAGGTGGAGGACAGTGTTTGGCGTTGTATCTTTGGCCATGCTATTTTCGTTAAGCTGAGGCTTCATTATATTAGCCGGAGCGGTTATAGTTTGCGAAGAAAACTCCAAACGGACACGGTAAACGCCAATAAAGAATGGATTTATCTTGGCCCAGTGGACCAAACGAGTGGGAGTTGATATCTCAGGAAATTCTATTAGAGCCGCCCTGCCACCACAAACCTTCTGCACACTTTTTACTTGTCCACAACGGATAAAAGCATCGTAAATCTCACTTTCCGTGCATTCTTGAGGCAATTCGAAAGCCGCAACGGTACAATTCGGTTGCGTTGTGATCAGGTAAGAAAGGTCAGCAGAAAGCTGAAAACTCGAAGGCACGGTACCAGTTGTATTGTAGTACTGAGCCGTTGCCACAGCTGCAGTGTCGACTCTTACGCGTTTTGTTGGATGAGACATGGCGGTTGTAAAACGAAGCAAACGGATGCACTCACGAATTAAAACAAACAACACCTTAGTGTAAGTCAGTTAAAACAAATCGAGAGGTTGATTAAAAAGCAGCTCTAGACAGTATTATGGATCAAACATAGTTATTGGCAGTATTCGGCTACTAAAAACAATTACATTACATTTTAATTTGTTGACGCCTTATATTACCAAGATATAAACAAGAAAATATAAACAGTGATCAAATTACAAACTTCAAACTGACCAGTGCCAAATTGTCGAAAATATATATATACCATATTCGATTGCCACTTTAATGGAATCCATTGCAAGAAACGCCAGCCTACCCTCTTGCCCTTAAACCACGAGTTGCACGAGAGGGTTAGGTGCAGACGATTTATTTGGCACTAGTTACAGGGAGAATAAGGATTGGAGTACAAATGGGGTGAATAGAAGGTATCAACCGGAGATAAACTCCGCACGATCCTTGCGCACGTCATTCGCGTTCTTAGCCCGGTTCCCGCCTCTCCTATATAAGTCCACTTAAACAATCTAATATATATTGCACAGCCCCTTTCTCTTTCACTCACCGTCCACTGTGCTGACCAGTAGAGTTCCATCAAGCGGCTTCTCTTTTTATGCCAATGTACAGACTTCGCCTTCGTAACCTACTGAGGGAGGACCTGTATATGGCCTAATGTCGTTATGATGTACTGTTAGAGGCCGAGTAGTGATCTCCGCATTCCGAATGAGGTGGTTCGTGGGCGACAGGACTTTGATAATCGGGTAGGGTTCCTTGCTCCAGGGGTGACAGAATTTCGATAAGTTCCCGGCGGGGAAATCGTTCTATACAACTGCACTAAATCGCCCTCTTTAAAGACGATTGTTCGGCTCTGTCTGTCGTAAGACCTCTTTATTCTAGTGTATGCTTACTTCAGCTGTCTGCGCGCGGCTTCAAGCACTTTCCTGAGGTTTTCCTCTAGTCACAAACCGTACTGAGGCGCATTATCTACCGACGGTTTCTTACAAGGGAGCGAAAGGTAGGAAGAGACTCTCATTTTACGGCCTGTGAGCATCTTGAATGGTGAGACGCCAGTCGAGGTGTGAGTGGAGGCTCGGTAGGCATGGAGGGCCCGTCCTATGTACAGATCCCTATCCTCGGCCTGCAACACTTTGGTGAAGGCCTTCAATATGTCGACAAGAGTACGATTTGTCCTCTCTACTTGCCCTTTGCCCTAAAGATGACCCGGCGTCGTACACGTCTTTGGGATTCCAAAGGCTATGCACAGCTCTTTTAAGAGATAACTTTTAAAGTTCGCCCCCTGGTCGCTATGTACGGAAGCAGACACGCCATGTTGGCAGATCCAGCAATTGAAGAATGCAGTTGTTACTGTCTCAACATCCTGCGCTTGTAATGACTCGGCTTCTGCGACCTCGGTGAAATAGTCTAACGTCACAAAAATATAATGTTTCTCCTTCAGAGTTGTGAGAAGCCGACCTAGGAAAGCCTGTGGGTATCGGCTGTAGAGGGTCTACTGCCATGCGAGTTGAGTTCTTCAATTTGATGCACTTGACACATGCGTGACAAAAATCGGAGACATCCGATGTCAGCGAGGCCCACAAATACCTTCTTTCCTTCCAAGCATCTTCCTGCTCCCAACATAGCCAAGTTGCTCATGTAATTCCAACAGGGATGTCTGAACTAAGGAACCTGGTACTGCGAGGCATATAGGACCTATCGCATTATCGTCTTTGTAGCACATGACATCGTCTTCTAGAGAGTTTTTCCCAGTTCTGCCATATATGCTTGTTTCTCTTGCTAGCCGAACTCATCTCCTCAACTCTGGGTTTGGCCGAAGATGTTCTTAGTCGTTCATCAACTAAAGCTGCATCGGGGTCAGCGCTCTGCGTGTTTCTCCAGTGATGGGAAGTAGGCTCGCTCAATAACAGCCCACCTACTGTGTCGCTATCCGTGGACGGTGATAAGGGTCTCCGTGACAGAGCGTCCGCATTACCATGAGAGCTTCCTTTCATATATTGCACTATAAAATCATATTACTGGAGTTCTCCGTACCACCTCACAACGGAGTGATTTATCTCTCTTCATGTGTCTAAGGAACATGACCGAGTTTTGGAGAAAACTGCATTTCTTCGGGTTCAGCGTCAGACCTGCTTCCCGAGGGTGATCCAGTGCTAATCAGAGGTTGGAGTTATGCTGTTTGATGTCTCTCCCGAAAACGAGGATGTCGTCCAGATAGACAATACAATGTTTCGGGATTAGGCCGCGCAACGCCGTCTGCATAAGTCGCTGGAAGGTTGCCGCCGCGTTTCAAAGCTCAAAAGGCATCGGTTGAAACTCATATAGTTCATTTAGCGCAATGAAGGCTGCTTTTCTCTATCCTTCTCCTCTACCTCCACTTGCCAGTAGCCGGATTTCAGATCCAATGTCGAGAACCACTTCGCTCCTTGCAGAGAGTCCAACGAGTC